GAGAGGGAGAGAGGGAGAGAGAAATAGAGAAGGTGATACAGCGGCGCCTGGGTGGCTCAATTGGTTAAGCGTCTGCCTTAGGCTCAGGTCATGATCTCACAGTTCATGGGTTTGAGCCCCGCATTGGGCTCTGTGCTGACAGCTGTGGAGCCTACTTGGGATTCTCTGTCTCCCTCTCTCTCTCTCTGCCCCTCCCCTGCTCTTTTTCTGTCTCTCAAAATAAATAAATAAATAAACAAACAAACAAACATTAAAAAAAAAGAAAAAGGAGATACAGAAGAGATGTAAAAAGAATGGATTAAAAATTATCTGCTTAAATAAACCAATCAGAATTAGAAGTAATCAAAGGAATGAAGAAAAAATAATTTATATAAAATAAGAACTGACCAAGAGTCAAATCAGAAAATGCAAAACCACTGTGCTGATACCTGATGGTGCCTTGGAACCTGTGACTGCGGTGCTGGTCTGGAACACTGCTTCAGTGTCAGTCTCGCTTCTGTAGATATGCATTTACCAGGCACGAAGGGGCATGGTTTGGTGTAGGCAGGTCCTGCCTGCACTGTGGGTCCGTTGTCCCTTCCCTGAAGCCCAACCTTGTTGGCGATGGGGAGAAAAATGGGGACACCCCTGTCTCTCCTCCCCAGACCAGATGTCTCCCACTGGTCTGTTCAGGCTGTCCACACAGTGCCGTGCAGACACAGAGGGCCAGTTTGTCCCACTCCACCATCTCCTGCACCTCCCAGGCACTTGGCTAAATTCAGTCCCTGATGTCATAAAGGATCCTGCTCCGTGAGCCCCAGTTCTGGGGTAGTGCCGCTCCGGGCCTGGGTGGCAGGTGTCCGCAGGGTCTTTTGTCTTTAGAGTGGATATATACCTTCTTCCCACAGCACTCAAGGGAGGGGGCTACTCTCTCCGACTGCACCCCTGAGCTCGCTACCAAGCCTGGGTCTGGCTCCCCTCCTCCCCAGGCGTGCATACAGGGCGGCAGGCTCCAGTCTGGACAAAGACCTGCAACCCTGGATCGTGTTAGATACTGGTTCTTTCTCTGTTTTTTCTATTCCCCGGTCTGTGGTTTTTCTCTTGTCCAAATACAGCCCTACACTTCCACAGCCTCTCTTTCTCTTCCTTTTGTCTCTCCAGAGAAAGGGATCCCTCTCCTCTGTGCCTGTGCCACCCATTTTCTCTCTCCCAATTGACAGTCACACACCTATGGACCACCAAGTTGTCCCTGGGGGCCCCTAGAGCTATTTCTGTCACTCTGTAGCCTGGGTTCTTGGAATTCCGTCTTCTGGCCTCAGTATTGCTGTGTTTGAAGGACGAGGGAACTTTGGGTCCCCCTACTTATAGCTCTGCTATGTTGACTCCTTCCCCCCCCAAAAAAACTTTAAAAGGTGCCCCTTCTCTTTTGTAAATCAAAAAAAAAACTCTTTAATATTATAGTCCAGTTAGATTTTTGGTTCAGTAGATTATTTTTTCTATGTTGAATATAAGCTTTCCAAATTAAAAGCTCTTGGAACATAATCTTTATAAATAAGAACCTGTCTGATTTCTACTTAGAGATTTTATTTTTAAAGGCTTTGAAAGCATAGGACAAAAAGTAATAGGCTCCATTTCATTCTTTCAACTGTAGAAATGGGCAAATAATATTTTGTTGCTTTTATGTTTAGAAGAGTTCATATAATTTAGAACAACCTCATATTTGTCAGGTGAATCAAGATTTTAATTAGAAAAAGGAATTCGAATCATGCATGATGTGCTTTATCTTTTAGAGCTAAAGTATGCTGGAATGTTTTTTACTAGTCTAACAAATGCTTTCCACTACTTTTTTTCTAATAATTAAAAAAATATGTATAGGACATTAAAGACTTGATATTTTCCCTCGTACTTATATCTACTTTTAAAAATATCTAGCATGAAGTAAACGTTACTCTTATTTTCAGGATTGTCTAATATGATGTCGGATGGTGAGTTTCTGCGAACTAGTTGTGGATCTCCCAATTATGCAGCACCTGAAGTCATCTCAGGCAGGTAATAATAGATGGGTGGAGAGTAAACTTTTCATAATCTTTTGTTCATCTTAATAACATTTAATTATGATATATTCTGTTCAGAGGATAAGATTAACACAGTAGGAACAAATTGTCCTTTTTTTCCATTCTTTAAGAGAATAGTTTTATTAAACAATTTTTTAAACAGTTTCGATTTTGTTATGAGTATATTTAATGATTTTTTCTTTTTTCCAGGTGTAATTATTTTTATTCCTAGTTATTTTTGATAGTATTACTGATATAGTAATAACAGAGAATAAGTGTTGTGTTTGTTGGAAACATTTACAAAAGAATTCAAGCATTAAGTTCTTGATAGGACAATATTAGTGTCCCTGGTCCTATATATGCTGGCAATATGTAAAACACCTAGGTTCCCGGGTGCAGAGTGCAGAGGTGTAAAGTAAGTCACTGAGACATTGCAAGGAAAAGAAGAGAGTATAAAATAAAGATGTAAGCAAAGAGTAAAGTGTTGAAGGAACAGATAAGAAGTATATCGATGATCATAAAACCCGTAGGTGAGCTTTTGTTCTGTCTGTTCTCAAAGTTCCATGAGTCTGTGATGATGCTAAATTATTGAAAAAAAATTTAAGGGAGTTTTTCCATTAAAAAAATGACTGAAATATTGATTTTATTTTGATAAAGTACAGATAAGAGCATTTGCTATATTCAAGCATTCCTATCAGACAGTCCTTAAATAATAATTAACATATTTTTAATAAGGTACTATATAGACCATTATTTTATGTTTTGTTTTTAGAACAGTGAGGTTTTGGGGGGACAGTATTGTCACTTCATGAAATTAAACTGTACAAGTAGAGATTGGAGCTTACCCATTGGTATATAGAAAAAATGTTCATACAGATTGCAGTGATAAACTGAAGACTTTCTACAGTGACCAGTGTCTGTTTAAAAACTTAACAGAATTCTCTGAGAGAAAATACAGAAACGTTATTATTGCAAGGAACAGATATAGGAGTTTTGGACAGTACAGCAAATGATTTAAATGATGGGCAGCACCATTTTGAAGTGGATTATATTCTTTTAATTGGAATAACATAGATTTACTTTGTTGCCTCAGACCTAGCTTTGAGTTTGTCAGTGTGCTATCAGGAGCATTTTAATATTTTTTATGTAGGTGAGAGAAGAAAGGACTAATATTCCAGCCATAGGTTATGTGTAACAAAGCTAACCTTAGTCCTGTGAGCTAACCTAACAAGTGATTGGAATGAAAGTCATACTCAGGACAATGTTATACAGGACAAGTACTGTCAAAGAGATGGCTGTAGGACTAGTTAGGCATTGTAATGTTTCAAATATTCTGTAAAATACGCATTCAGGGATAAAAATTGTTATATATGCATTTTCTTTATTGTAGTTTTATGATAAAAGGATTTAACGTATACATTATAGTATTGTTTTTTTCAAGTTTATGGTTATCTACTTTGATGTTTCCATAAAAATTCAACCATAGTATGTTTTATTAAAAAAAATTTTTTTTAATGTTTATTTATTTCTGAGACAGAGAGAGACAGAGCATGAGTGGAGGAGGGGCAGAGAAAGAGGGAGACACAGAATCAGAAGCAGGCTCCAGGCTCTGAGCTGTCAGCACAAAGCCCGACGTGGGGCTCGAACTCACAAACCGTGAGATCATGACCTGAGCTGAAGTCGGTCGCTCAACTGAGCCACCCAGGCGCCCCTGTTTTATTTTTTTTTATTAGTCAATTAGTAAGTTAAGTGAGTTTGTGACAAAGAAAAATACTGCTTTCTTTTGGAAAACTTGAATAGTAATTGCATAGACCAATTCTCTACGGGAACAAGTATTGACTGTTGGGAGTGTGGCCATGGTCCTCATTGAAGGCCTGCAAATCAATATAGACTGAGTCTGTAATATGTATATGAAGAAACAGGGTATACACGAGGATGAGAAAAAGTGGTACTTGTATTTCAGGTTTTTGTTATCCTTTTTCTTAGATTGTATGCAGGTCCTGAAGTTGATATCTGGAGCTGTGGTGTTATCTTGTATGCTCTCCTTTGTGGCACCCTTCCATTTGATGATGAGCATGTACCTACGTTATTTAAGAAGATCCGAGGGGGTGTTTTTTATATCCCAGAATATCTCAATCGTTCTGTTTGCACTCTGTTGATGCATATGCTGCAGGTTGACCCCCTGAAACGGGCAACTATCAAAGATATAAGGTGATTATTCTTTTTGTGACTGTTACGTGTATTTTGTAGTATTAATAATAATAACACTAATTGAGTGCCTGCTTTATGTTAGTTTCTGTAACACTTAATAGCATAGGAATTTTGCTTTCCTTTTTACACAAACCTGATCAGGTCACTGATCTTTTTAAATATTTCAGATTGTTTTCTAAACTTTTTAGCTTAAGCAGCAAATCCTCAAAGGCCCTTCCTAATAAGGCTCCATTTCCTTCTCCTGAAGCCTCACTCCTGCACTTACCACCACACACTGGTACCAGTGCCTCAGCTACATTCAGCTTTTCCTTGTTCTTCAAAAAACATATTTTATGCCTTCATGTTTTAATTTATATTATTGTCTCTGATTTGTCTTCTGCCTTTTTTGACCCTGTAGATTTCCATCCATCCTTTATAATTCTTACTTATCATCTCCCTTGTGAAATTACCTCTGATTCCTCCAGGCAGTGTTAGTTGCTTCCACTTCCGTGATTTCCACATTTTGTTCATGGTTTTATTTTTTCATTATCGCTTCGTATCTAGCTATTACTCAGTGCATCTTCCTCCAGTCCTAAATTATAACTCCATAAGGGTAGAGGTAGTGTCTTACTCATCTTAGTACACACAATGCTAGAAGGCCCACGAATGTAGTATATGTTGAGAAACTATTTGAATAAATTTCAGGAGTGCCTGGGTGGCTCAGTCGGTTAAGTGTCCAGCGCTTGATTTAGGCTCAGGTCATGATCTCACTCACAGTTGTGGGATTTGAGCCCTGCTTCAAAGGCTCTGTGCTGACATTGTGGAGCCTGCTTGAGATTCTCTCTCTCTCTCCCTCTCTCTTTGCCCCTCCCCTGCATACACATGCATATGTTCTCTCTCTCTTTCTGAAAATAAATAAACTTAAAAAAAAAGTGAATAAATTTCAAATGGAATACAGGGTGAGATTTATGTATTTTATATATGGTTGATGAAATAAAGCATTAAAAGTTTTGCTAAGATTTTGAATAAAAAAATAAGCTAGGGCTGTGAAGGATTTCTTGTTACATGAGAAACTTCGGAACTTGCAGTGTTACTGTGAATAGGACCTTTATCTAGCATACACAAGCCATGGTAATTCTTGACCTTCTACTTTTTACTTACTGTGTTACGTTTCCTAGGGTTTTTTTTTGTTTTTACCTAACATTTCATCGGTTATTTATTTACAAACACATTCTGTTACTGTCTCTCCAGAATCTCTCCTCTTACAAGCCAGAATGGCTGTGTAGAGACCTGTGACTCTTGGAATGTTTAAGTAGAGTAGTTTTTTACGTGGTAGCTGCTGATCTCTTCTGAAAGCAGGGACTGATTGCTTTTCCATTTGTATACTGTTTTTCTCCCCTAGCTTTTCTTCAAGTGTTCCAGGCCTCATACATAAAATAAACGTGTGATTGTAAATTAACACCAACTTTAGTTATGG